ATATATATATATATATTAATAATAGTATATCTAATAATATATATGATATATATCACTATACAAAATTATATGATGATCCATTAGTTTTTGCGTAATCCTGTAACAAACAGGCAGGCAAGCAGACAGACAGCAGATAGAGAAACAGTTTGTGTAAAATTACATGTGAACACGATAACAATTTCATAATACATTTAGATGAAGAACACTTGCTTAATAGTTGAAAGAAACGGCTTCTGGGTTTGGTGTAAACCGGATACGTTCAGGCGAGCAGTGGTTGACTTTTTCTATTCAACAAACGCTTCTCTAGTGATGACGACAGGACGTACAGAAGACAATACGATACTGTCCACCGAATTGCGGCGTTTATATCGCTGAATGAAAATTCGATTTATCTGCAAAAATTACAGCTAAATAATGGTAATTTTGTTGAAGTAATAGTATAAATCAAAATTAATACAGAACTGTTATATTATAGGCCTATATTTAATCAAGTGTTATTAAAATTAAAAAGCTAATAACAGTTTAAAAATGAGTAATACGTTTAAAACTCTAATGGCTTACTGTATCTAGTGAGAGGCATTCACTGAGAACTCTGATAAAATGATTTGTGTAATTGAATTTTCGAATGTCAGAACTTAATAATTGACCTATAAAATACCAGGAATACACCCTTGTCCCACAAACACACGCGTTGTCCTACAAACGCGCGTATTACGTATGTTTACGCCGTCGACCTTAGCAACAATATCAAAGGCACGGATGTTAGCGCAAAGGTCCATTAACAAATGCAAATCTTTAGTATTTAAACGTACCTCACTCTTCAGTACGATATGATGAATAAAAATATATATTCCCTTTGGAAATAAAATAAAAATTCATTACTATTAATAATGCATTCATAATACAGTGTTGACATTTGTCAATTTTTAATTTAAATATATATAATTGTATATACAACATGAACACACACACACACACACCCACCCCCCACACCCACATATATATATATACATATATATATATATATAAATATAAGAAAGGTTTCGCACGCAAGCGAATACGTGTACGCATACGTTTAGCTTTTCGTAACGGTTATAGCCATGCTGTGCTTTTCGCAATGACAGCGAAATTTAAGCTTCGGGCATTATGCCTAGTCTTGGGCCTAGCTATTCCGTTTTCTTCTCTCATCGTGCTTCTCAAAATCAAATTTGGAAGTTGGAAGTGGTAGCCGAATAACACTTCTTTTCTTGTTGCCAAGATGAGTGGTTATTTCGTGACCCAAAAATGCCTGGCTACTAAGCTAGGTCTAGACCTACACAAAAATCCCAACACCACCAAGCACCGACGTTTTTTAATACTCAAAAATGAGATGCGCATCTTATCGTAACTTGCTGTCTTCCAAAGTCACGAATTGGCTCGTACATATTAAAGATACACTTATTGCACTTACTGTAAAATGTGAAAAAAAAAAGGGAAAAAAACGGTCGTACTAAAAATCCATAATTTTCCTACGCGTTTTTCACGTACGTGTGGGAGCGAGATATGTGTGTCGTCCACACGGTTAGCGGATAGCAACCGGCGTATGACGTTATAAATAATGACCTTTAAGTCACACTAACCGTATGCGTTCACATGCGAAACCTTTATATTATTTATATCACGCATACATAGATTCTAGGCATCTGATTGGTTAAGAAACGGGCAATAACTTAACTCGGGCTATTATCACTTCTATGACGTAAGTTTGAATGATAGTGCATTTTTTAAGGGTAAAAAGTACTACGGTATCACCCTAAATGATAGCACTTTTTTTGCCCTATCGCGATGTGTTATATCTAGGCCGCCACCTATAACGTTACTATGTGATTTATGACAACGGTAAAGGTGGACGCGACCTCTACGACGCTGGGAGAGATTGGTCCTTTAATAGCCTCGCCCTTGAAATTAAGCCTTAAGTGTGTACTCTTCATTACTTTTCTCGTAGAATCTATTTAGACTATGAGATATATAAAACAAACATTGACTGTTCTAGATTCGGGGAACGGTGAAATTTATACTACTCGGGAACTCGACAGAGTGGTGAAGGATGGATGACACCTGGGATCTCTTGTACTTGTTTTTGCCTGTTTTTCCCACTAATTAAGCTGATAATAAATATTTTAAATATATATAAGAGCTATTATTTAAAAAAGGGAAAAATAAAAAAAGAAATCAAAATAATAATGAAATGCAGAAAAAGTTGTTGCTCTTTGCATTTGGAAATTGTGTCGTGAGCAGCTCTCTGAGAGATGAATACGCGCGCCTTAAAAGATGTCATTAGTGTTATTATTATTACTAACACTACTGTCCTACCACTACCACCACCACCACCACCACATTACTCTATACATTACACTATACTACCACCACCACCACCAAAAAACACCAAATTACAATACCATATCAGTCAGTTGTATGAGAGACAGTACATGGGGTTTAGATCTTCGTCTATACCCTTTAGGTCTCTGTGGTCTAATGGGTTTGGTACTTGCCTTAATGGCAAGAGGTTGCAGGTTCGAATCTCAACAGAGACACTTTTCTTCTTACAATCGAAATAACTTTTTATTGATGAGCTATGCTTGATATGATAGTAATTGATTTTACCCGGCAGAACGAAAGAAGGAAACTCCGCTTTTCAATTGTCTTAGGCGCAGGTTTTTTGACAAACAATGACCTTTCAGGGGTCATATTGCTGTCAAGAATATGAATTGGCTGCTTCGCAGCAATAATTATATTAATATGTCCTTTATTCGAACACTGTATTTACCTTTCCTTGATGATTTATATATAATTTAACAGTGAGAACGGTTATCTTGATTTATATATATATATATATATATATATATATATATATATGTATATATATATGTATATAAATCAAGATAGCCGTTAACACTGTATATTAATATATGGGATTTTTTTTATAGGTTTGTGTATTTTTATTATTTTTATTCTTCCCCTTTTTAATCTTATAATCTATAAATAAGAATAAATTTCAATTTAATTATTTTGCAATTAACCTAAATTTTAAGAATTCTCAATTTTAATTTCATTTGTTTTTCTTCCTAAGTATTATAAGTTATTGTTAGGGCCTATATATTATATCATACATTTTATATTGCTGTTTCTCTAGGGATAGATTAACAAGCTTGTGAACTACAGCGATTTTAATTGCTTTTGTTAATCCTTGCCTCCTTAGAATTATACAGTTTTATTCTTTATTGTGTATTTTAGTTTTTTAGTTTTTATTTTACTCTATATACTGTTTGTACAAATTGTATTGTGATTTTTATGAAATTTAAATATTGTATGAAGGTTTGCATGGCGAAGTAATAACATGTTGAAGCCTGCGGTACACCATGTAGGTAGTTCTGAAAAAAAAACTGTTGTAGTTGAGAAGTCTCGACGTTTCGAGTGAGTTGCTTCAATCGTCTTCAGGAGAATAATATCTCAATATATCCCTTTCTCAAGACAAACATACGGAATGTAGGCAAAAATGGCCCCGGTAAAAATGGTCCCGTTAAGAATGGCCCGTTAAGAATGGCCCAGTAAAAATGGCCCCAAATTACAGGTAGGTAAGTAAGTCATGAATAACGTTTTTTAATTTAGCTTAGTGGGGTTTAGCAATACCCTTTAACCCTACCATAACCTCTGCCGTTTAAATTCTTATAATAATTGCCATATTTACATAACTATAGACAATTTGAGTATATCTCAGTTTTCATTATTTAGTATAGTTATGAAAAAAATAAACATTTTTTTTGAGTGACAGTTTACGAGTATATATGATTAAGATGAATTTTAAAAGATTCAGAAGAAAATAAACATAAAACAACGTTTACATAATTAAGACCCGACTTCCTAAAATGAGTTACTGTATTTTTCATAGGCATGTGGCCCAAACAATACATTATAATACATAAGATATGAAACACATATTTAACAGAATACAGTGGCAGTAAGCAGTATAATTGTGAAGACGAGATTATTTATTACTTATTGTTTAATCTATGGACTATTATATACATTTATTTTTAATTATTCCTGCAAAAAGCATTATAAATGGAACATTATTTTACATTACCGTTAGTTTCTTAAAAATAAATTAAGTTATTTTAGTTTTAAAATATGCATATGTTTTATTTTGATTTATTAATTCAATTTTTGCTATTTAATTATTTAAATAGATTGGAGATTTTAAAAATATCATTACTGAATTTTATCATAAGATTTATTTTGCTATTTTACAGCGTTTAAATAGTTTAAATATTCATTTTAAAAATATCAATTTTTTAAAATGAATTTTAAAATTAGGGCCATTTTTTATTTATTGATATAATTCTTGCTATTTTACAGTATTTAAATATTTGAAAAAAAAATCATTTTTATTACTGAATTTTATCATTGGGGCCATTTTTACCTACCTGTCATTTGGGGCCATTTTACCCTGCCTATTTTAACCGGGGTCATTTTTACCGGGGCCATTTTTACGGGGGCCATTTTTGCCGGGGACATTTTTACCGCACACCAAACAGAGGATGCTTAACTCCCGTTATGAGGCTTAAGAACTTGTTTGATTGGATTGGATTTATTCGGTGTAAAGACCAAGGATAGCCTGATACTCTAGAAGAAGACTTATTTCCAGTGGGGTCTTTCTGGTGATGAGTGGGCAGTACACCGGCAGACAATCCCCTACTCTTTTCCGAAGAGTGTACTGCGTTCTTTAACGTGCACATGGGCCATAAATGCACAAAGACCAACGGCTTAAACGTTTCATCCGAAAGACTGTGCGCTTGTAACTTGTACTTCAGCCATCCAGCTGAAATACAAGAAGAGGCAGCGATGGCAATTAAACCGGGGATCTAGGGTGCACTCGGGCGAGATTTTTGTGGAGTCTAATCCGGTATAAATCCTGAAAAGACCATTTCCAGTTCTCGCCCGAACAGGTGTTAATCGGGTCCCGAGAAACTTGATAAAACTCATCATTATAATAATAATATTTATTTCACATTACACCCTTACAACAGTGGCAGCACACAAGAAAGTGGCGCAGTCAAACTTAAACTAATGAACAAAGAGGAAAACAACAACTTAAAGCTAAATAAATTAAAGAACTTAACTAAAGAAAATACAATTTAGTGTTTAAATAAATCATAAACATCTCTCACCCTCCCACACAAATAATGTACATAATACACATTACAGTAAACGTACACCCACCAAAATACATTGTAAATCCACGTGTGTTCTTCAAATTATTTTCTTTCGAAAATAAATAAATGTTCGACAGTCTACATGCCTTGTTGTCAACGATTAATATATATATATATATATATATATATATCTGTGTGTGTGTTTGTGTGTATATATGTGTATATATATATATATGTGTATATGTATATATATATGTGTTATGTGTATATATATAAGTATATTGGTGTATGTATGTGTGTATATATGTATGTATATGTGTATATATGTATATATATATATGTGTATATATGTATATATATATATGTATATATATATGTATATATATGTGTATATATGTATATATATGTGTATATATGTATGTATATGTATATATATATATGTCTGTATATGTATATATATGTATGTATATATATGTATATATCGGAACATACGTGCCCAATCACATTGATGCCCACAGGTATGTATGTATATGTATGTATGTGTGTATATGTATAATTATGTATATGTATATATGTACATGTGTTGCCGAGTTCTGCACGGACCATAAGTCTATTTTTCTTTCAACACTGACACATTATTTAGGTCTATTATATTATATTCACAATAATGTTACCTGATTTGTTGCCTCTTGATCTTTTGTAATCCTAAAAATATCCGAATTACAATAAAAAGTATACAGGAGTTGACCTAAAATAATTTAAAAAAATAATAAATCATATTTCGATTTGTGTGTACAGTTGTTTCATTTCATGTCCAACATAACCTTCATTGTTTTTGAATATCATTAATGTAGGTTTAAGTCTACAAGATAGTATTCAAAATGAGTAAATAATGTATATTTGTATTTTATAGTTCCATACCATGTCGCATCGGTATAGATTGTATGGATTACACACAGCATGCAACATAATCATTTAGGGTAGCCATTCATAATTATGTAAATATAAATATAATAATAATAATAATAATAATAATAATAATAATAATAGTAATAATAATAATAATAATAGTAATAATAATAATAATAGTAATAATAATAATAATAATAATAATAATATAATAATAATATACAATAATAATTGTGTCACATCATAACCATGAAGTAATTTATTCAAAATATGAATTAGTATTTTATGTGGTTTCCATTGACCTACGGTATACTTACAGCGATTGTAACCAGTGCAGAGGTAACAAAAGCCCATGTTATCCACACCTCCAAACAACATCTATTCAAGGTATACATACGAATACACAATGTGTCATTATATATAAATATATTATATAATTTAATCTTTAAAAAGAAAAAAAAAACAGTTTGCAAGAGTACTTATTGTTTTCTTTATATATTTTTATATCATATATTTTTATATCATATATATATATATATATATATAAATTTATTTATTTCATTTCAGCAATTCTTGTTAGAGACATAACTAAAATGGAAAAAGGCCATAACTGAGGTCGAAGGTTCGATTTATTCATCATATAAATAAAAATACAGGTAAAAGAATTCCAAAACTATTTCCGAATCAAAAAAAAAAACAAAACTAAAATATACATAAATATAGCACAAGCAATAGGCCATAAATATAACGTAAGATAAGAGACGAATTGCACTTGGCAAGATAGAGTTAGCCTGTCTGTGTGTATTTGACTGGTGACAAGTCTACCAGATCTGCTTACTATAATATCATTCTTATGTGAGTGGGTAATATCACCTCTTATATCATTTAGATTCTTCCTCATAATTGATTACAGATACAATATAAATACATCAGCACCGATAACTTTAGCAGCAGACTTCCTTATCTTATTCAATAAATTGAGGTGTTTTTTTTTCTGATAATATCGTGAGCCAAGCAATACAGCAAAAAGTGATTACGGATTGGATGTGCTTTAATAGAAGAGAAAAGGTGTATTTCTGCCTACATTATATGACCTGAGCGTAAAAAAACAAAAGCAAAAAAAAAACAAAAACAAAAACAAAAACAAAAAAAACGTTGGTTAGATTAGTGTTTCCAGCTAATTTGTTGTCAGACCAGAGTCCAAGGTACTTATTCTGTAAATACATTATAGCCATTTCACATGTTTCGATTGGTGTTAGAATATCCTTCTTTTCCTAAAGTCGAATAATCTCTTCTGTTGTCTTGACATTAATCCTAAGGTCATTTCCGTCACACCAGTTACAGCCCATTCCCGGCAAAATTTCACTAAAATAGATTTTTTTTTTAATAGAAAAAATGCATATGCATTACTCGATTTATTATAAACAATGAAATAATATTATTGGCATAAATGTTAGTTTTACGCAAAAGAATAAAAAAATGAGAAATACAGACTATTTCTTATAGGAGATTACCATTTTCTCGACAAATTCTTCGTTACTAGGCAAATTCAGAGGTTGTAGATCACATCCACTGAAATGCTCTCGCTTTTATGTATACTTTATACAGTCAATAAAGTGCGCCCTCTCCAAAGAAATTGTTTTCTGTACTTCGCATCTCGCACACTGCGATCGCAATCGATCGAGTACTAGTAGGCCTGAGATATGTTTATTTAATTGTCAAAATCTCGGTCAGAATAATTTTTTTTTAACAGATTTGAAATAATTCGTGTCAATCTAGCAACGGAAAATATAATGTCGGCCGTTTTTATGTGTGATAACTGAACCTAAATCGGGTTAGGGCCAAGGCTAGGCCTAGTCTAGCAGTGTTTGGATAGGCTATGTTTTCGGCGCCTACTATGTTTCTTCGCAGACCTATAGCAAAATCAAACATGAAAAATCCATCCGCATTTATTTTTTTTGTTCCACAAAAAAAAAAAAAAAAAAATCAAATTTAAGTCTTATTTTACTTTTAATGTTTAGGAATGTCTAAATTCAGTTAAATTAACAATTTCGTATTTAAAATGAAATCTTTATAACATTATATAAAAATCAGATTTTTCTTAACAACTGAATACTTGCCGGGGAATGGAGCTTTAACCAGATAATTACTACATTTATTATTACTACAGTTCAGTAAGGCAAATAAACAAGGCAAAAGGGCATAACAACAGTTTAGTAAGGCAATTAACCACAGCAAATAGGCATAACTGCAGTTTAGTAAGGCAAATAATCACGTATTTAAGACTATAAAATTAGCAATGTGAAAGACAATCCATAGGCTACTTAAAAACATTTTTTTAGGGACGATCTTCTTTTCCATGTTTTTTGGTACGTATGAGATGTGTTACAAATGACAGGTAATAATAATAATTAATAATAATAATCATTTCAGCATTAATTCTGTCTCTTATACACATCTATATTCACCTTGACTAGGCCTAAGTGTTTTAACAATCTTGTCAATATTGCATTCATTTGATAGGCAATTTAAGGCATTTTCCAATATTGTTCTATTCTTCAATTCTAATATCTTCATATGCTTCACAATCAAAAATAAAATGGGAACCACCTTCAAGAACGTTAAGTGAGCACAAAGTACAGTTACCATCGACATCACATGAGGCCCGTCCAATGGTAACGTATTTGATCGTAATTTAAATTTTAAACACCATAGAAGTTGGTATCATGAAGAAGATATTCATATAAACAAGGAGTGTTTTTAAATTTTGCATATTCAACAAATGAAGATTTGGAATGAATTCCTTCATACCATCTATTGATAAATAATCGATAATAAATAAATTTAAAGTTTTTGAATTAATGGTTTAGGCAATATTCACCTTGACTAGGCCTAAGTGTTTTAACAATCTTGTCAATATTGCATTCATTTGATAGGTTATCAACAGATGAAGAAATTTGAAACGACAATCTTGGAGGCTACAGTCTTTGTTTAACATTGTTAAGAACAGTAATTTTGGCCACCTATGCATGTCTATCTTTATCATTCTGTCAAAGAATTTCATTCTGCATATATTATTGGTTACATGCATAGGGGTCCAACCAGGATCTCCGTAAAGTGTTTCTTTTCGGTTTATTACGTGATGCATTTAAGATGCACCGGGCCGCGAGTTTTTTTGAAACATATAAAGCGCTCTGATTGGCTAATGATAAGATGAAATCATCGCACAAGTTGGCACAAGAGTTAACCAACTCGCACTCGAATACGGATTGTGAGAGTGATCTCAAGAAAGTATAGGTTTGATTCACCGATTGCAGACTATGGTTTTCTCAGAGTAAGTTTTCACTATTATTACTGCATACGTAACCCACAACGATCAAGGTAATTGTAAGGAGGGATGCATCTCATGACTCTTTCTAGGCCCAGTCTTAGCAAGGCCTCCCCTTGGTGTAGTTGGAAGATGGACCTACACTCCTATCCCATATCATCAATCATGATGCAAGAAAGATCAACGCAACACTTAGACACTAGGCCTAGTTTGCATGACAAGTTCGCCTTCTTATTTTCTGAAGAATTACCTAGCAGAGCAACCTGTTTAAGACCAAAATAGTCTATTTTTTCCTTTATTTCTACACCTCAATACTGTAATTTAATAATTATTAGTAAATAACTACCCTACTACCAAACTTTACTAACGGTACTACTAGAACTTAGACCCTGGTCTATTGTCCACAGCTCTCCAATACTTTATATTATAATTATAATTTTAAAATTATAATGTTATACTTGACTAACAGCAAACTTGGCAATATGAGATCCCCCTTTCTTTATTATTCAGTTGCTTAAATTATTGGTTGTAATATTTTTTTTTTCCATTTTGATTTTTCTATTTTGTCATTTATATGATGTTACAACATTTTACTGTAACTGTTTAGTCTTTTATTGTAGGCCCCTATATATCCTTTTTTAATGAATATTATGTAATACAAGTAACATGCAATTTGGTCTTTGGCCACCTTATATTATTGTTTGAGATGTGATGTTTAAATAATTAATGTAATATTTTTAAATATCAACCAACCTACAAATAAGTAGCAACCCAGTTTTTATTGATAAAAAAATTTCCTTAAACTGCTGATGTTGTTTGTCATGACATAATAAATGGATGCACAGTACAGCACAATTAAATACTTGAATCTGGTGTTTTTTGGGTCCATGAAATGATACCACAGAGTGGGAATTTGTCCTTTTGAGATGCTTCTGGATGGAACGCTGAGATAGACATTGCTAATAATAGCAGAATGCATAGAACCATCTCATCACTACCTTTAACACAGCCAATTCCAGATGAATGCCTAACCAAAATACATGAGCAAATGGACAAAGTAAAAAGCAGATGTTGTCTATAATGTCAAAATAAGTTTAGGACATTCAGGAAAGACACAGTTGGGTAAAATGGAAGGTTGTGCGAAGAGAACATTGTACTGAAAATGTTCCACTGAGTACTTCTTGAAAGCAAAAAGAAAAAAAGTCTCCCATAACCGTATACAGAAAACCAAAACCTTGAAAAAACTTATTCTTTTAAGTCAAAAAATGTAAACTACACTCCTGCCAAATAATAGTAATGGTTTAAACAGTACCACTTCGGGAAAATAGATATTGCATTATTTATTTTTAAAATAGATAAAGTTTGTGATTGTACTAATGGTCACACATCTGCTTTTCTGACTCTTCAATACTATTATATTTATTACTGTATTTGTTAGCTAATATTTACAAACACAATTAAGGGTTGCCTTAATTTATTAGCTGTAAATTATCTCTGTTAATTCACACTTTATTATATCATTTATAAGTTGGTTTTATTATTTATAATTCGAGAAAAAAAGAGAACAATATAGAAAAATAACTTAACAAATTTAATATTATTGACTATTTTATAATTTACTTGCTTCAATTTTTTCAGATGTGCAATTTTGTGCAAGTGTAATTGCACAAGGGGAGAGCAATATATATATTGTACAGCTTAGATTTATAGATTATTTATAATTAGACGTTATATGTTTAATAAAATAGACACCATCAATAAATAATATTCATAAGGTACTGCACAGATTCAGAGGAAGAAAAGATAAATTGAAGTGGTGCAATACACTAACTTTTTTAAATAATTATTATTATATTACTGTTGCTGTCGTGAATACTAAATTTTGACAGCTTTAATATCACTATTACTTTTGACAGCTTTACTATCACTATACACTATTTGTATATTGATTGACTACCATTAACAGACATATAGACAGGTAAGTAAAGGAAAGACTTTTCGAATAATAATACTGTGCCTTGTTTAGTGAACTTATTTTTGTAGAAGTCGT